CGCCAAGCTCGACTTGTCCGATGCCTACCTCCAGGTCGAGGTTGATGAAAGCTCGAGAGAATTGCTGACCATCAACACTCATCGTGGCTTGTACCAGTACAACGGTCTCCCTTTTGGAGTGAAAACAGCACCAACCATCTTCCAGCAGCTGATGGACACCATGCTCGCGGGAGTTTCTGGAGCCGCGGCGCACCTGGGTGATATCATTTTAATGGGTCGGACGGCAGAAGAACTATTTCAGCGGCTCGCTGAAGTGCTTTTACGTATCCAGTCATATGGTTTCCATATCCGTGAAGACAAGTATACCTCTTTTACACCAACTTCCAAGTTTCTCGGCTTCATTTCCTCAAAAACGGTCGGTGCCCTGATCTAGAAAATATCCGAGCTATTCAAAAGATGCCCCCACCTGCGGACTTGCAATCGCTGCGTTCATTCTGTGGCCTAATCAGTCATTACAGCGCTTTTCTGCCCGAACTGCATCACCTGCGTGCCCCGCTGAATAAGTTGCTGAGCAAGGGCCAAACCTGGAATTGGACGCCAGAATGCCAGAATGCGTTCGAGCGGGTCAAGTCATTGCTGGCTTCAGACCTACTCCTAACTCACTTTGATCCCTCCCGAGAAATTGTCCTTGCCACAGACGCATCGGGTCTAGGGATCGGTGCCGTAGTTTCCCATACGTTCCCAGATGGATCTCAGAAGGCGATCGCACATGCCACCAGGACGCTGACGAAAGCCGAAAGAAACTACAATCAGATCGAGGAGGCATTGGTCATAGTGTTTGCTGTGAAGAAATTTCACAAGATGATGTATGGTCACCGCTTCAAACTCTTGACGGATAATAAGCCGCTGCTGGCCATTTTCGGCTCGAAGAAGGGAATTCCTACCTATACAGCCAATCGACTCCAACGATGGGCACTCACCTTGCTGGGCTATGATTTTGAAATCCGTTATCAGTCAACGGATTCGATGAGCCAGGCAGATGCGCTGTCACGCCTCATTGGTTCCCAGCGGTAAGAACACGAGGACACCATCATTGCCTCAGTTGAGATCGAACCTGTCGAATTCCTGTTGAGCGAGGCACCACATTGTCTACCAGTTGCGGCCGATGCTCTGCGAGCCGAAACGCTTCGAGATCCAATCCTGAAGAAGGTGACACACTTCCACAGAACCAGCTGGCCACGTTCGTGTTCATCTGCCAAAATGTTGCAGTTCTGTCAGTGAAGAAATTCGCTCTCTACTGTGAACGATTGCGTCATATTCTTGTTGAGAGTAGTCATCCCGCAGGCGTTGCAAGAAAGTGCTGAGGCAGTTCTTTGCAGGACATCCAGGGCTCAACCGAATGAAAGCGCTTGCCCGAAGTTATGCGTATTGGCCGGTTATGGACAGACAGCTGGAGCAGCTAGCTAGGATTTGTGGCAACTGCGCTACCGCTTCAAGGGCACCGCCGAAGACTGAACTCCACTCGTTGCCTAAACCAACTAAACTTTGGAGCCAGAACTTTCTCATAGTGGTCGACGCTTACAGCAAGTGGCCCGAAGTGTCCCTCATGGGAAGCACGAAAACCAGCGCAACAGTCTCGATGTTGCGACAAATCTTCAGCTGGTTTGGCTGCCTTGAAACATTGGTGACGGCCAATGGAGAACAGTTTAGTTCGGCCACATTTACGGAATTCTGCCAACGCTGCGCCATCAAACACGTGCGGTCTCCACCATTCCACCCACAATCAAATGGCCAAGCGGAGAGGTTTGTGGATACATTCAAACGCGCTCTCCTCAAATCAAGGAGGGAGGGAAACATAGAGGAGGTGATCAACCGCTTCCTCTTTCTGTACCGAGCTACACAGAATCCACAAACGCCGGGTGGAATATCACCAGCAGAGGCAGAGAAAACTTCGCATGCCATTTGATGCAGTTCGGCCGTCTTCAGAGTCCACAGCTGGTGAAAGGAACCTCAATGTGGAACGTGACTTTAATCGGCGGTACGGTGCTAAGGGACGTTCGTTTAAACCGGGTCAGCCAGTACTTGTACGTGATTATAGGGATGGGCACGCGAAATGGACGTCAGGCACGATCCAGTGCAAGCGCAGGAGCGTCGTTTACGACGTGCTGGTTGGAACGCAGGTATGGGTACGCCATGCAAACCAACTGCGACCAACAATGTGTCAGCCACAAGTGACATAATCCGCCGAGCTTCCATATGACCTGTTGACAGACAGCTTCATCTTACTTAAGCAGCCCGTAGAAGAATCCTGTCATCAGACGAATGATTCCAGACCGCAGAGCACGGAATTCGAATCCAGAACACTACAGCCAAGGCGATGGGCCGATAGGCGTAGAACCCCTTCCAAGTAGCTTCAGATCAATCCCAGGCTAGTATCATACACCGCGGCAATCGTTTCAGGAGGGGAGGTATCCAGGAAAAGGTAAAAACATAAAGGAAAACCATTATTTTAGCAATTAATCGATTAGCTTCCACCGTGCATTGATTTCGCAGATTCCAGAACCTTCCATTCCTTCACGTGATCGACAGCATACGGAGTCTTGGCAGCGAGGCTACTAATTTTAACAGTTGAACTTCGTTTTCTAGAAGCCGAAGGTCATTGAGCCCCCCATTATGTTTGGCGTAGATGGTACAGCGTTTTGGCGGTATTTTTAACTACATTGGCAGCGTTTTTGTTAACATGTTTTTCGTGGTCAAGGTCGTTGGAGTTTTGAATTTTCTTCGGCTGGGCTAGAATTTTTGCGGAGAAATTTTTGGGTGTTTAAGTCGGAATAGCGAGAAAAAGTGAAGACCTACCACATTTTACAGGCACCAGTTTTCGGGTGTCGAACCCTCTGTCAACTCTAATGGAGTCCGCATCGCTTTAAACGTCTGCCAGCCACAACAAAGCTGCCGATTGCTCATCGGTTTCCTTTTTTCCTCTGACACCACGTCGTGGTAGCCCTCCGAAAAGCAGAAAGAAAATTGGGTTATGACCAGAAGGCAACGTATAATTTATACGGTAAAGTACATTGCCTTGAGTGATTCCGATTTGCTCTTCCTTGATTGGCTGCCGCTGACGGAAACCGAGCCAATTGGTCTTGCGGGTTTACAAGACGATTCTCGTTCACACGTGTGGGCGTTGCTGCTCGACTGGCGGCAATCGATCAGCTTCCAGACGGTCGGCCTGTTTTTGTCCAGATCGCCAGTTCGATAGGCAATTAGCATGATCGATGTATCTTACCACCCCAATAAAGGGATCAGTCTAATCCCAATTGCTTCTAAGTTACTTGCCTCTGTCGTTCCCCACAGGCTGATTGGCACTTGTGTAATCTAAGTTTGTCCAGAGTAAGTCGGGTTTCGTCAAAGACAGGGTTGTATTCACCACGGTCTTACATTACGTCAGTTGTCAGAACACAGCCATATTTACTGGCGACCCACCGTAGTCATGTTCATCGACATCAAAATTGCCTTCGAGTCGATGGATCATTGTGCCCTTTGGAACTGCCTGTTAAGAAAAAGTGCCCGTTAAATATCTAAATGTTTTAAGACCGTTATACGCGCGTAGTTCTGACAAAGTGATAGCTTATGGTAAGTTTTCGCAACCCTTTAGCACCTCCAACGGTGTGATACAAGATGGCCCGCTGTCATCATTCGTTTTCAGCTTTCCCATCGACGAAATAATGAAAACTGCATTTATTGGACACAACCTGCAAGGTGTGGAGCTGCTCCCGGGTGATTAGTTACTTGAATTTGAATACTCCGACGATGCTGCCCCTAACTGTGACAGCTCACAGTAGTGTCAGTAGCACTGAACAGATTAGTACTAGCTGACAGTCATTTCGCGCTATGCTGTGCACCTTCTAAATGCAAAGTCCTCCAAGACTGGCAGGAACACTGTCCTGCGCTGACCCTTGGTAGTGATCAGCTATAAATCATTCAGAAATTCAAACCCCTAGGCAGCTATATTAGCGCCTCTGGGATCGAAGACGAGGTCACATATCTAAATCCAGACGCGCTTTCCCCAATCTCCGCCAAATGTCGCGCCAGCGCAACATCGCGGTTGCTTTGAAAGGTAGAGTTTGCAATGCAGTCTTGCGTTTAACACTGCTATACGGTAGTGAAACTTGGTCCATCAGATCGACATGCTTAAAGAGGCTTGTTACTTTCGACAACACTGCCTTCGCAGTTTCACTCTTGTCTGATGGGATCACCGCGCGAGCAATGAGCATGTTCAACGTCACGTATTTGGTGTAAGAAAAGAGAGTGAAGCGCTCAGCAAGTTATATCACGCACCAGGCTTTGATGGCTTGGTCACTGTCTCCGTGAATGACCGAGACTTGGAAAAAGCCACAATGTCGCTTGTAAACTCCTTATTGACGTGACCAATTATACCAACTGCTCGGTGATGACAAGGACTTGTGGCTTATCGGCCATCATGCAACATCTTGAACTTTGAATGTGAGAGAGAAATGCAGAAACATGCAGTGCTTGCATGTAGATGCTGTGTCCACCCCAACATACCCGATGTCCGCGTACGGAGGCTTTCTGTTATCCAAGTACAGATCGGGCAAGTCATACTGATCAAAATTCAGGTCATTCAACACATCATGTTGGCAGGTAACGTTAGCCAATCAAAGCCCGTGGTTGGTAAACAACCTGAAAGCGCGTGGTATACTAGGCTACACTTTGAAAATGGTTGCCTAATCGACATCTTCCTACAAAGTCTGTATTCGTCCCTCGACAGCCTCAGATGGTCATGCAATGCTTTAAATCGTTAGCTGGAGAGATGGATCAATATCATGCATATAATAGCTGTTATGGTCAAGGAGAAAATGCAGAAATGTAAACATATACGATGGAGGACCAAAACGTGCCTTATAATCTGGTCACAAAATAGAAAATATTTTTGTAGCTAACCCTCGCGAATGCGAGAATAAAGTTGGGTAGATATAGATCATGCCTAAGAGACAAGGGACTCCTGAACAGTGTGGCACATCGATTGATATGCAATGGCATACCTGACACTTGCTGCACTTGCAAAGTCGTTCCCGCCAACTTGCTGACCAAAAGATCGAGGGCGGTTCGGATGCATTTGATAAATCTAGATCCTTTACAGTGATGTCGCACGATTGTTTGGTACCAAAACGATGGATAGTCGCCGAAAGATGACATTCTTCAGATTTCTCACCAATATCCTCGGATAGAGAAGCTAATTTGCAGCGTTTGGCTTCGTGCTCTGTCTCAAGTTGGCGGTTTTGCAGTAGCGGGTTACTGGTTAGCATCCTCCGAATTGATTCAGAGAGCTCGCAAGGTGCCTCTTCTTCGTGCTCAAGTGCATAAAAGTATAGAAATGAGTATTTCTGGAGACAAAGAAAACACGTCATCTCCTCATAATCTTCAGGAGCCTTAACGTTGTTTGGCAAATTTAGATGCTGTGACAGACAAAATGTGAGAGATGACATGGCATACCTCAATATGGTACCAATCTTCACATAAACCACACTGAATCATTTCTTCATTTCCCTGCGCGCAGAATGTCGTTACATATTATGCTTAGTACAAACTTCATAATCCTCATCTGGGTAAGGTCGCTTACAAATGCAGTAGCAGTTGGAGAAATTGTCGTTGTACTGGTTTTCAATATTTTCGTCATCCTTTTCCTAAGGACGAGTAACTTCGGGCTCAACTGCGCAAAAGTTTACCTCCCACAGAGTGCATTGAAACTGGCCAAATTTGGCGTTACCACAATCGCAACGAAAACGTCGCTTAGTGTAAAGTTCTACGGTATCGTGACCTTCGTGGCAATTGACCAAGCAAGGATAACAGAAACCAGCCTTGGTGGTAGATATATCCAAACAGGTTTTACATGTGTACAGAGCTTGGCGTTTCATGTAGCCCTGGGGAGGATAACCGTTAGACAGTTAAGGTGCGTAGATACTTACACTAATGAAACTGCAAGAGTCGTGATTTTTGATGCCGCCCATAACGATGGCTTTTTCTTCATCGATAGATTTGATAACATCCTCAATGGAGACCACGCTATCTTCATCGTCCATCATGTTGACGAATAAGGGTAAAATATATTGATATTGGAGGATAAGGGCGAACTCGTATTAAATCCTTTAAAAAGACGAAGATGTTAGTCTAACTATATTGTTAAAGAGTTGCATAAGAGCAGTAAACAGTGAAGTGAGGAAAATGATGCTGGCGCAAACTACTGTGTACTAAGGTACAGTTTGTACTTATTCTTAACCACATTAACAGAGCGGCGTATCATTGTTTCGGAGCACCGGCTGTGTGCCTGAACTGCGATACGCAATCTGTTATGATTTAACTGGAAGCAAACCCAGTACATTCGGATTATGGGGACCGTATCCGAAAATACCCAGAACGACATGTCCCTACGCCTCTTATCTAGGCCTGAGTCGAGAACCTCCGACAACAAGATACGGTTGGTTTCTCTCTCCTTTATATTTCGGAGGATGATGCTCTCCCAAAACTAGTCAAGTATTGCATTAGTTTGCATGCGTCAATCAAGCGCTGCAACCAAGTCAAAACCCTACGTCAACCAACTGTAACGCTTTAAAATAACGGATGTAGCCCCATCCTACTGTGGTGCAGAGTACATGGTCCGTTTAATATTATTTCCGCAGCGCCATGTAATTTGAAGGGGTGAATGAGTATCAGAACCGTTGTAACTTGAGAAGGTTGATGGGACTATCCAATTGAAATCAACGATCAGCCACTTGAAGTGATGCTACGCTGCCGTACAATGACCTAAGGAATGAAGAATAATGTGATGGAGAAATGTAGACCTACCATGAAATCTAAGTAGTCTAAGAGAACACTGAGGGTCAAGGAGCATACACCTCGTCAACATCATACTTTCACAAACAGCTGGCTATCGTGTGAAGATTAGGCGGTAATGGTGAGACGGCGTACTCAAGCCTTTCACAAGCAGCCATTACCGCACAGATAAGTAAGCATCAGGCTCACTGTAAACAGTTTATTGCCGATGCAGTTTCGCTGAATGTACCGCAAGAGTAGTTGTTAGTTGACTCCCACACTGGATACAGAGCATTAAAGACACATCGGAGCTCAAACGTAACCGGACTCATTACATGAACATTGTAACCTCGTAACTTTTTATCACACCCACAATTGTGAACACTGGCTTCTTGGAGGAAAGACGTCGCGGACCAATGTGGATTACAGTTTATTGCGACGAAACAGAGGGTAAGGTGCGTCGAAATCTGGTGGAACAAATGGGAGAGTGCTGCTGAATTTTTTCCCCAACGACTGAAATTTGTGTCAGCGGGAATAATTTCGGGTGTCTGTCAGGTTTTAAAAGTCCTAAGATGTAGCGCATATTGTTACTGAGTCAGCGTTCAGGCCGAGAGCAGTAGCGCAACAATGCATCGATCTGCCATTAGAGATCGAACGCGAGTAAAGATCAAAATACAAATCCATGTGGAACCAACGGCAAGTCAGATCATGAACTTGAACCGTTTGATTTGTGTTAATAGTAATTAGCATCTCCAATTTTGTTATGTTCGTGGTTTCCTACAACCTATTTGTTGCGCATGCTCTCATGCAATAGTATCAGAATCCGAATCCCTCGTGTCCGAGTGTTTGCTTGGCGTTCTCATTTCGTTGCGGTTGAACTGTTTGGGGGGCGGCACAACAGATTGTCCTGGCGACGGTCAGCTGCGCGGAAGTATTAGGTTAGCGGTACATTC